GGACAAAGAGGTTCTTTTTCAGCTCGTGTTCTTTGATTATGTCTTCTTCGCGCACTGCCGTCTTGCCGTGACCGCCGCCTATCTGATTGTTCAAATGCCGTAGTCGTGTGGCCCCATCGGGGGAACGAACCATGAGGCTTGACCCAGTGCGGCTCCATTTTCGTGACCGTGGTGTCTGTAGGGTAGGTCCGGTGGCATCGCGCCTTTCTTTGTTCTTCCTTCTTCGGGTTGCAGGGACATGTCCCTTCCCCCGCTTTCACGCGGGTGTATGGCCTTGTCTGGATCTGGCTCTAAAGGCTCGGCTTTGTGTAGTCCTTTGATGTGCGCAAGCATGCGTTGCACTGTAGTGCAATCCCCGCATGTAGGTTGCGTTGGTTGATTTGCGATGATCGACGCTGGTTGTTCGAGAATGGGCGCGTTGATAGAGTGTCGTCGTCAACATGCTCGTTTCGATACGTCATGAGTTTTGTCGATTGATTGACGCATCCGTTTGTCATTTTACTGCCTTAGCGTCGGTAAGCTTGCGCCACGGTGGCGTCGGTCTTGATGTCGATGGCTAGGGTCACATGTCGAGGAAATTTGACGGTGACATTCTTACACCAAGTAACGCCGTCGCTCGCGGTGCGGAGATTCTCACGGGTGAGATGTCGGCCATCTGTGTCCGCCGTCAGTTCCGATCTTCCGGTATATGAGAGTTTTTTATGTGAACGTTTGGTGTTATATGGGCGATCTTACTTTAATGAACATGTTTGGGTATTATGTATATGGTGTGTAATCGGCGCATTCGCTTTGTCATTTTGTCGTTTCCTCATTTTCTTCTAGTTCAAGCTATGAATGTACGCCATCCCCCTTAGTCCTGTGCGTGTGGGTGCGCGTTTTAGCCTAGGGCTGGCCCATGGGGCCAAAAGGCGCTTGACCCGATTGCGCGGCAAGATGCCAGGAAACGGTCGCAGATCTAGTGTGATGCGAGAAGAAAGCGAGCGAGCAGCTAGTGTTCTCTTTCCTTTCGTTCCCTCCTCCTTGAGCGAATGAGTTCCCCATTTCCTTTCAGACTCATGCACGAGTGCTTGGCCTTGCCCGGGAGCTGGCCCATGAGGCTTGACTGAGGAGACTTTTTTAGTGCGAACGAGAAATCAAGGCTTGGGTCACCAGTTTGTCACGGCTTGAGGAGCAATTGGTAGGAACTCAAAATGAGTCAGTCACTGGAATGATGACAAGTAGTGCCACACCGTGGGTCATGTACATGTGTCTATATGTGCTACCCCTATGAGTGAATCGTGTTCGGCTGCTAGCGTGAGCTAGATCGAATCGCTCAGGAGTTTAAGTAATACTAGGATGAAGTGTATGGGCATCATGTTCTCTGGTAGGCTCTACGGGTTGGCTCTAAGTTTCTTGGAACTACGGGTGAGCCTACACATGTATGCGAACGTGCTTAGGTAGAGATGCTAAGGTCAAGGTGGATGTGACTGACCGATGTATCGGAAGCTATCGTGAACCTGGCTGTCATTGCTTGGGATGCGGCGATCCCCCAAGCGCTTGCTTGTGGTAGAGTTGTTGCGGTCCTAGGGCCACGAGCTAGTGAGGGTGCTTCTTTAGCACTTGGCACGACCATAGCTGGCATAGATCAAACCCTCGGTGGCCTTGGGCCAACCATTGCCGGCTCGACGTCCTTGCCGAGCTCGTGGACCCCCCGAGGATGACTCCTTCATGTCTGGCCTTCCGAGAGGGCTCATGCATTCAGGTGCTTGAGCCCCCGTGGTGCAATGATGTTGCGGTCATCTTTGCTTCTAGGTGTGGTTGCCGCCCTTGATGAGGAGCTGGCATGACTTGTCGCTGCAGAAGTGGGTTCTGAGGGCAACACGGTTTTCTTCGCTCGGCGTAGCGCGTGGTGCACTCAGGGGCCTTGCTTCCTTGGATGCACGTGCCTCTGAGTGAAGGCTGATAGTTCACGAAGGCACGATGGACGGCTAGTCCACCACGTGGGGCTAGACCCTGGTTTCGGGCTTGGCCTTACGAGGCGTGGCGCCGGGTAGCCACCGAATCATTAACGACGGCGCCGTGTGGCGGCGGGCGATTTCGTCGCTCATGTGTGCCTTGACTTGCTGCGTTTCGCTAGAGGCAGAGATGCCGCTTGGGGCATGGCTCTACCGCCTGACCTAGGCTTCCCACGTGGTTTCCCTAGATAGGGTAGAAGCTAGTGATGGGCGCTCACCCATTGGTGTGGATGATCTCATGGTTCCCTAAAAGGATGTGGTCGGTTGAGGCCATTCCCTAGGTGAGCTCGCCATGAGCCATGGGCCTTTGGCTTCCTAGGTGGAAGACTTGGCCATGGCTGGTGACGAGATAGGGTGCTGGCCCCCTTCGTAGGTGAACTCTAGGATGCTGCCACTGAGGGCAATTCTGAGAGTGTGTCCACCATAGGCCATGGGGTCCAGATCTCTAGAGCGGAGGTCCAGACCGCAGCTAAAGGCGGACGCTGGCGCTGGTCCTTTGATGCCAATGAACTCATGGTTTTCATGGCAGATGTGGCCATCGTGGGCCATTCCACGAGCGAGTCCACCGACAGTGCGAGGAGCCATCACTTCCTTCTCAACAAATGAGAGTGCGCAACTGTCCCCTACCTGGCGCGCCAACTGTCGGTGTTTTGTAAACCAGACTAGTAAATTTATACGATTGTCGCACTGCTCTAGGAAGACGATGGTAGCATCCAAAAGACACAAGGATTTATACTGGTTCAATCTAAAGCCCTACGTCTAGTATCAGAGATGATCGAGTGCGTGTTCCTCCCTTGAATGCTCTAAAGTTCTTACAATGGGGGGGGTACAAAGAATGGTGGAAGAGGTAGGAGAATTAGAGCTAGGAGATGAACTGCCTGAAGGGAAGCTTTAGGAGTCCAGAGGTTGTGAAGAATGTGAAGATGTTCAAGATGATCAGAAGGATGCCCTGGCTACCCTTATATAGAGTTCGAGGCCAGGGCATGTACAAAGAAGAAGGTTCCCCTGACTGAAGGGTTGTGATCCTGAGGGAGAGGCCTAGCTAACTTGGCTTGCAAGCTACGATGTCTTGATGCGCATGTCCAGGCGTGGTTGTCGTGATGGTCTTGTGGCCACGTCATGGCATGGTGTGGCGTGGTGCTACTATGCCGGCCATGGTGGCACTGTAGGCACGGTGATGGTTCGCTAGCCGTCCTGTGCGATGTGAATTCTATTGTGGTCTCCGTCGTCATCTCCTGATCCCCCAGGGGCGTCGTACTGGACTTGGTAGCCACCCTCAGGTCGTCGGTCATCTTGTTTTCTTGTGGAGTCGGTAGCCACGATCCCGAACCTCAGGGTCGTGGCTCCTACTGGCTTGATTGGCCTCTAAGTCAAGGCCTCCGTTGTGGATCCCATCTTGTAGTGGGTAGGATCGTACATATATCTTGTTAGACCGTATTTGGACGGTGGATCACCGTACTAGTCATCACCGTCTGGCGGTGTTGTCTTGTCCCTGCTGCGTGGCGCAGGGATGGCGTCTGACCGAACTGAGGTGACCGCTGTCCTCTTGGTCCTTGTGGGGTCCGTACGGTGTATCCACTCTTGTTAGAGCAGGCGCGCTTGGCTGGGCTCGACCTCTCTCCGTTCCTCCCAGGGGTCGGGATGGCGGAGAGGTCGTGAACCCTTGTGTGGCGTGCGACTAAGGCAGAAGGGAGGGGTCGTGGCTGATCCCGTCCTTGGCGTCTAGCCTGGTCCGCTTGGCTTAGCTGGGCCTCGATCGTTTAGGCCTTCACTAGCTGGTGTATCGTGGGTCACTCGGCCTGCTAACTAATTGTTGCCTTGAGACACCCAGGGATCATAACCCCAACACCATTGGTCTACTCCTTTCTCCCTCACTTCTTTTTTATGCCTAGGTATAATATTGCAAACAGCCATATATACACGATGGATGAAGCTAATGGCCGTGCACACGCACGCACGATAGCTTCTTCCTCCTCGACTCCATCACCCTCGCCCCGGCCGCCACCCACCGGGCGAAACCCTAGCTTGCTGGGGCAGGGCGGTGGGCGTCAGCGGGGGCCGCATAGCTTCGGTGAAACCCTAGCTCGCCCGCGACGCCACCTTCTTCCCCTCCCCCTGCCCCGGTCTGGCTCGGCCACCTCCACCGCCGCTAGGGCCTCTAAACCGTCCACCGGCATCCCCACCGTCTAGCCGGCCTCCTCACCGAACTCCCTTTCCTTCTAAGGCCGCCGGAGTTTGGGAAGATGAGAGGGAGAAGTTATCTGGAACCCTAAGGAGCATATCCAGGAGGAGGAGGAGGACCCACCTTGCCAGAAGCGCCGCTGCTGGAACCTGCCACTGCTGCCGGAACCCTAACGGTGGGGGCGCGGGTGCGGTAGTGCGTGGGTGCGGCGGCTTCGCGCGGGCCGCCGTCGGGAGGAGTTCGCAGGAAAGGAGGGCGTGGGCGTGGCCGCTGGAAGGAACTCGCTGGAGATCTAAGTGTGCTGTGTGAGAGAGAGAGGTGGAAGACAATGCTGGGCGTGCGGGCCCCATAAAAAACGGCCATGCGTTTATAAGACAATGCCATATAGGATCATTATAATCCATACTAACATCAGTTCCGGGCCCACATTGTGAAGATATTTTTTTTCTTGTCATTCCTTCTCATTTTTTTATATTGCACATAACCAAATATATGATCATTATTATTCATGCTAGCATCAGTGCGTTTGCTTGTCATTCCTTCCACCACGGAACCGCAAGAACGACATCGCTTGTTGGTCGTTGACTCTCTGCTCACAGAAATACAGAATGCATCGCTTGCCACTTCGCCGAGGTTGACAGTGTTGAATTTTCAGCAAGGCTGGATCTGCACTCTGCAGCGCATGCCTGTTTTCTAGCTCCCCCCATATCCAGGTATCGAATTTCGTCGTCAGTTCGCAGTTTGTTCCAAAGCTTAGATTCTGATGACCTGAAAAGTTGAAATAATTTGTGATATTCAGGTATGGAGGTTAAGATCTTACACATATGACTCTAAGCGCCCAAGCAAGTGCACTCAAGCACCATGGCAGAGGGTGTTGTGGGAGCACTGCTTGTCGAACTAGGTGCAGCCTTGGCGAAAGAAGCAGCAACCTATGGCGCATCCCTGCTGTGCAAGGAAGCGAGGCCCTCAAGGCTCTCTTTGGCGAGATCCGCAAAGCCAAGGCCGAGCTGGAGATGATGAAGGCCTACCTGCGTGAGTCAGAGAAGTTCAAGGATACCGATGAGATTACTGGCATCTTCATTGACAAGATCCGGGATGTATCTTTCCAGATCGAGGATGTTGTCGATGAGTTCATGTACAAGCTTGAGGACGATAAGCATGGAGGATTTGCAGCCAAGATGAAGAAGAGGATTAAACATATGTCAGGACTTGGCGACGCTTAGCTCTCCAGCTCCGTGACATCAATGTGCAGATTGAAGACACTGCAAGAAGGAGAGACCGTTTTGCCATCCCAGTTACAGGAATCCCAAGAAATGGCGACCACCATTCCAGATTGACCAATAATGATGCTTCGTGTTTTGCGAGGGAAGAGGATCTAGTTGGTGTTGAAGATAATGCAGCCAAACTCAAGGGGTGGCTAGTTGACGATCTGGAATAAAAGAACATGAAAATCACCACAGTTTGGGGGATGGGTGGAGTAGGTAAAACTACTTTGGTTGATCATGTCTACAAGATTGTGAAAGCGAACTTTGATGCTGCTGCATGGGCAACTGTATCCAAGAATTGCTATAGAGTTTGGCATCTCAATCAATTATAACAATGTGCATATAAGAAGATTAGTAGAGGCCATCCGTGAACATCTTCATGGTAAAACATATATCTTGGTTTTGGATGATGTTTGGGAACAAGACGTGTGGATAAATAATATCATTGCTGGTCTTTCCGACTAATCAAACCTGCCGATTTGTTCTTACATCAAGAGTATCTGAGGTTGCATCAGTAGCAACTAGTGACTGTGTAATTAATCTGGAGCCACTACAAGAAAATCATTCTTATATGTTATTTTGCAAGCTAGCTTTTTGGAACAGTGATAACGAAACGTGCCTTGGGAGTTGTCGGATTTGGCCGCAAAGTTCTTAGAAAAATGCGCAGGCTTGCCGATTGCAATTGCATGCATAGGTCGCCTGCTGTCTTCCAGACCCCCAACATACACTGAATGGAATAATGTGTACGAGAGGTTAGAGTTACAGCCAACTGAAAACACGATCCCTGGTGTTGATACAATTCTGAAAGTCAGCTTGTAGGATCTTCCATATGATTTAAAGAATTGTTTCTTATATTGTGCACTATTTCCTGAGGATTATTTAATAAAGAGGAGGAGGTTAATTAGGCACTGGATTACTTCTGGATTCATCAAGGGTGAGGAGAAGAGAACACTAGAACAAGTGGCAGAGGGCTACTTGAATGAGCTTATAAACCGAAGCCTACTACAAGTTGTGAGTAAGAATATTATGATTGGACGAGTGAAATGTTGCCGTATGCATGACCTCATCCGCCGTGTTGCTATTGACAAAGCAGAGAAAGCATGTTTTGGCAAAGTTTATGAGGGGCATGAGACCGTTTTAGTAGGTGGGAAACGTAGATTGTCAATAGCGAGCACCAAGATTTCATCGCTAAATCAATCTGGTGAAACACATATCCGTGGAATACTTGTTTTTACAAGTTTTGTTCATGTTGATTTGTTGACGTCTATCCTTGGGTCTTCAAGTTTATTGTCAACATTGGATCTGCAAGGTACTGCAATCAAGATCCTTCCTAATGAGGTCTTCAGTTTGTTTAATTTGCGTTTCTTAGGTCCTCGGAATACTCAACAACAACAACAAAGTCTTCCAAACAAGTTGAGCTAGTCTAGAGTTGAAACCCAGCAGAAACAATCAAGGTTCAGGCACGTGAAGAGCTATTTTCTAAGCACTCCTATCTAAGGTTAAGTCTTTGGGTATATTCCATCATTTCAAGTCTCATTTTATTACCTCTACCTAAGTCAACTTCAATCTTCCTCTGCCTCTCTTCACGTTACTATCCTGGCTTAGGATTCCACTACGCACCGGTGCCTCTGGAGGTCTCCGTTGCACATGTCCAAACCATCTCAACCGGTGTTGGACAATCTTTTCTTCAATTGGTGCTACCCCTAATCTATCACGTATATCATCGTTCCGAACTCGATCCCTTCTTGTATAACCGCAAATCCAACGCAACATACGCATTTCCGCGACACTTATCTATTGAACATGTCGTCTTTTCATAGGCCAACATTCTGCACCATACAACATAGCAGGTCTAATCACCGTCCTATAAAACTTGCCTTTTAGCTTCTGTGGTACCCTTTTGTCACATAGGACACCAAATGCTTGGCGCCACTTCATCCACCCTGCTTTGATTCTATAGCTAACATCTTCATCAATATCTCCGTCTCTCTGCAGCATTGATCCTAAATATCGAAAGGTATCCTTTCTAGGCACTACTTGACCTTCCAAACTAATATCTTCCTCCTCCCGAGTAGTAGTGCCGAAGTCACATCTCGTATACTCATTTTAGTTCTACTGAGTCTAAAACCTTTGGACTCCAAAGTCTCCCGCCATAACTCTAGTTTCTGATTCACTCATGTCCGGCTTTCATCAACTAGCACTACATCGTCCGTGAAAAGCATACACCAAGGGATGTCCCTTTGTATGTCCCTTGTGAGCTCATCCATCACTAAGGCAAACAGATAAGGGCTCAAAGCTGACCCTTGATGTAGTCCTATTCTAATCGGGAAGTCATCCGTGTCTCTATCACTTGTTCGAACACTAGTCACAACATTGTTGTACATGTCCTTAATAAGCCCGACGTACTTCGTTGAGACTTTATGTTTCTCCAAAGCCCACCACATAATATTCCTTGATATTTTATCATAAGCCTTCTCCAAGTCTTCGGAATACTCGAATTGAGGTTTTACCAGAGGCCGTTGGAAGATTGCAAAACCTAGAAGTACTGGATGCATTCAACACTGGTTTTCTATCTTTACCAAAGGATGTAGCAAAGCTCGAGAAGCTAAGGTACCTATATGCAACTAAAAAGATCATTGAGGGACCTTTCTTGCGCTACGGTGGACTTAAGGTGACTAGGGGTGCCATAAAGAACTTGACAAGATTGCATGCTCTGCAAAAGGTAAAAGCAAGCTTAGAGACTCTTTCTGAAGTTGCATCTTTGACGGATTTACGGACATTTGCAGTTGATAGTGTAACAAGTGAGCATTCGTTAAGCCTCCGTAGTGCTCTCCAGAGTATGAGCAATCTTGTCAGCTTATCAATTACAACATCAAACGAAATGAATTATTGCCATTGGAAGAACTATGTTTACCAGAAACTCTCTATAAACTTGTACTTTTTTTGGGAACGTGCTTAGCACGTGTTTCATTAAGAGGAGTTAGTCTATAAACTTGTACTTGTAGGGCAGCTGGAAAATACTCAGATGCCTTATATTCCCGAATCCTGGAAGCACCTTAATAACATCAAAATATTGTGTCTGATGCTCTCCAAACTTGACGAGAACTCATTTCCAAGCCTCAAGGTGTTAGACAATTTATGCTTTCTGGAGCTTGTTAAGGCTTATGATGGATATACATTATGCTTCCCTGCGCAGTCATTTCCTAAAGTGAGAGAACTACGGATATGGTGTGCTCCACACGACCACTCCTCAACCAAGTTGAAATGGAAGAAGTTGCACTGAGAAGCATTAATAAGCTATGGTTTCTACAATGCCCAGAATTGAAGTGCCTCCCTCATGGCATTGAGTATCTTAAGGCCCTAGAGCAATTACGATTGGTAGATGCTGCAGATGAGCTTATAGAAATGCTTGAGCAGGAATGTGACGCAAATGAAGAACTTATAAAGATTAGTCACATCAGAATGGTTACTGTTGAATAAACCGAGGATAATTTTTGGCGAAGAATTATTGTCCCCATAAGAGGAAATGGATTAGCTGGTTGAAGGCTTGGATGCTACCTGTTATTTTAGGAGTTCACTGCAATACAAGGTATGCATTTACGCAGCTTCTTGTTTGTTGGGATGGTGGCACCACAATGTTAGTCTGAACTTCTCATTGGTTTCATTTTCCTGGGGTTGCTACAGCCTTCGTTGGTGTGTGGATTGATGGTTCTCTTCAATTATTTCAGTTTTAAAATGTGGCAGGTGAAGTTAACAGAAATAGCACTTATATTAAGACTGGTCAATGTATGATATTGCTAGACTAAAGTGATAGGAATTATCGGGTTATAAAATACGTACCCTCTTCGATATACTAAAAAAATATAATTAATAAAGAATTTAATGATACTTACCATAAATTTTATTATTTTATTATATAATTTTGGTTAAACTTGAGATGTTTTTGACCCTCTAAGAAAGTTAGAATAACTTATAATTTAGGATGGAACGAGTATAAATATAAGAAATTTATTTAGGCTCCATTTGGACGTAGATATTAAAGGTGATGGATTTTTTTTTTTTGAGAAATCGGAGGGTCCGAAGCCCTTACAGCTTTATATTAAAACGAGGAGCAAAGTTACACCTGAACAGAAAAAGGGGGAAACAAAAAAAAGGTAAAGAAAAAAAAAACAGGCCGCTAACCAGCCAGGCTATAGCAGGTTCTGGATCCAGATCAAACGCTGGAGCTACGCTGGCTTTTTTTGCCCGCAGGGAGGTGAGAGTTACTTCATCCATGCACACTCTCTTGCAATCGTTGATACTTCGATGCCTTCCATTGAAGATAATGTCGTTTCTAGCACCCCAAACCGTCCAGCACCCTCAAGCTATCAGCCTGTTCGTTTGGCTGTGGCTTGTCGTAAACGATCGTAAATTTCCAGTCGGAACAGTATTTTTCTCTCATACAAACTAGCCAGCAGTACTTCTTCACGAACCAGCAACGATACAAACCAGCCAACTGATCAGGCTGCAGAAGGAAGCTTTGAGTCCTATACAGATTTACCTGTTACTAGCTCGAGCGCGGTACTCGGCTATCGAGGCAAGTGTCATTTGGCTCTACCCTTCCGAGTAGGGGATCTTGCGGAGGCAGGGTATCCGCTTGAATTGAGATGGATGGAGTGCTTTTATGCTCTATTGAACAATATATGCTTATTCAGGATCACAACTTGAGGGCGAGCTGTTGCTTAAGTGTGGAAGAATGTCACGATACTCTTCTTCTCCAATCCTCTACCCACTACTCTATCGCTAACAATGATACATACTGCTGCTTCATTTCTGAAGGAGAGTAGTATATGGAAGGATTTTATTAGCTGACATTACAAGGATTATTGTGATTCTAACTAAGGTAAGATATTCAGAGTTGTTGATATGCGCAAACACTGAATCGTAGCTGCCCTGGCACATGTACTCGATTCTCAAAGCATCTCCGAGAGGATTGAGAAAACTGCAGAGGCAGTGGAAGAGCAGTTGGCAGTTGGGCGCGAGATCTTTTTCTACCGTATCTTGTAAGAATTAATCTAGAGGCTCTAAAAGGACATATATTCGGCAACATAGAAAATGATACATTTTAATGTTATTTTTTACGAAATGTAATACTTAGGACTTAAAATATTTGCCCACACAATCAACCTATGAACACGTGCATGCACACTATACCTCATGAGCACTTCTAAAAGGGCGGGTCAACACATCTTAAAAATGACAGTCACTAAAAGCATCTCACTGTTGATGTGTGGGTCACCTACCCAAGAAAAGAATAGAGTTGTTAACTTCTAGAAAAAAATCTAAAAAAATGCAAACATATGTGCTTAATCTAGAGAATTTAAATCTTTTTTTTGTGAAAAATCTAAAATTTAAATCTAGTTATGGATGGGTTTCAGTACAAGAAATTTAACTAAGCGAGCATATCTACTATCAATTGGAAAGGGTAGGGATGAAAACGGGTCGGATACGAACGAATATCATTGATATTACATTTATTTTCATATTTCTTTCTGGATTCGGATTCGAATACGGACGGTGTCAACCACGTCGGATAGGATACGATTGAATATCGACATCATAAATATATGATTTGATTATTTGATACGGTATCGGATGTTGAATATCCGGACTCGGATACGAACGGATCTAAACCTCTCTAAACAAATTCGGTCTCGAATACGGTCGGAAAATATCCGTACCGTTGACCTATTCGCTTGAACTTATCAGCCGGCTTATCAGCTAAAATCTACAGTATTTTTCTCTCACAACAAATCAGTTTTAGCCGGCTTATCAGTCAGCTTTAATACCAGCCGAACATGCGGTAAAGGCTGCCGCTGTGCCGCTGCAGGTCAACTGGTAGCAGGTCGCACACAGTTTGCAAGTCTCTGTCCTTTTCGTAGTGTCAGCAGTTATAACGTCGTGACTAATGTTGATGGAAAAAATACAACTCGTTGTTCTTTTTTTCTTTTTGGATTACACGGTACAACACATAACAGTACGACACAGTTACTCAGATGTTCGTAACGCGCGCACACACCATGCAACAATGGCGTCATTTGTCGATTGCATTGTTCTACCACGTACCAAGCACCAAAGCGTTCCATCCAAAAAGTCTGTTCGGTGTGCGCGTTTGCCAGGGCACCGTGTTGAGTTAGCGTGGAGTCCGCTGAATTCTGGCGCCACAAACAGCCTGTTCGCTTGCTGAGCCATGACTTATCAGCCAGCCTCCTCCGCCACAGAAACCCACCGGCGAACAGTCTGTTAAAAAGAGAAATAGGAACGGAGGCAGGGAGGACGGAGCGACCAGACGACTCCAGGCTTCGCGTCACGGCGTACTCGCATCGTATCTTCTGACCTCCCGTCTCCGGCTCTTCGCCTCCGGCCGTCCGGCGGTCCATCCCTCCGCCGCTCTGCGTCACGGCGTGCTCGGTGCTCCAGCTTCAGGCTCCGGTCACTCAGCCAGCAGCACCCAGCGGCCAGCGCGGTTGTCGCCCTCCTCTTGCGTCGCCGCGGTGCTCGAGTCCTCGGCGTGGGCGAGACGACGAGATCCCGATTCCCGACGACTGCCCGCCGCGGCCGCGTCCAGCCGTCCAGCTCCTCGAATGTGGGAGCGCTCAACGCTGCCCTTTGCTGGCTTGCTACAGGTTAGTTTGATCCCCAATTTCTTTCTTTCCCTAATTCTTACCAGCTAATTTGGTATGATTTTGCTAGATCAAATAAAATTGACTAGACTTATTTTTTTAATTAGGTAGTAATGTTGCGTCTGAAAAATCTCAGTTCCTTTTACAAAAGAAAAGGAGATAATCTTCTATTGGGGAAGGGGAAGGAGAAGGGGAAGACCCGTTTAATGCTCATCCAATACTGGAGTTAGGTGATTTGGGACAACAGAGGCAAGAACAAGAAGCAGCAGCACCTCAGTTAGATGAACTGGAACCCCAAAGGCAAGAAGATGCAGAACAACAAGAAGAAGCTGCACCTGCAGATCACTTGTTCTTGTTTTCTAAATTCGCCCCCCTATAATTTGGTTCACCAGTGGGAGGGGTTTTTTTTCTCCAGATTTGTATTTGTATTAATCATAAACACGGTTTCAAGTTTCAATCTTTGACCACAGCTCCCATACTTAATCAAGTAATCAATTAGTAAAACTCAACTTGAAAGCACATTCTGTTGTACACCTTTCAGCTTGCTTTGTTCTTCTCATGCTCCCAAATCATTAGGTCGGTCCATACGTAAGACAAGGTTAGGATTAGGATGAGATCTCGTATAGTGTGACAAAAGATCTGTATCTGGAATCTTACATACCTGCGCCTCCAGTGCCACTCTAATGCTACTCCTTTTCTTCTCTTGTGCAGGGGAAGTTTGCTTTAAATAGACACTAAGACAAATCAAAATGGCCGAGATGGCCAGTTCTGCCATTGTTGGGGAGGTAGTCGGTCAAATATTTTCCAGTATCATCGACAAGTACAATGATGGATCAGATGAAGACAGTAGCAACATAGAGAGGCTAGAGATGGCGGGCATCAAACTCGATGCTACCATCGAGACGTCGGACCATTGGCAGATCACCGACGTGGCACTGCTGCGCTGGAGAAAGAAGCTGAAGCGTGTTGCTTTAGAGTGCGATGATGAGCTTCGAAGATGTAAGAAGCGATCTCTTGAAGACAAAGAGACCAAAGAGAAGCTCAGGCAGTCCTCGTTTCCTAGACGAGTAGCTCATAGCACCAGATCATTCTTATCCTCTCTTGTGAGTCACAGGAACAATGGTGAACCCTCAAGCAAGGCTGTCGTGCAAAGGTTCGAGAGGCTAGCAAATGGTGCTGGTGATTTCCTGAGATTGGTGCAGTTGGGTGGAACACCGCGACCATACAGTTTCCTTGCCCCCCTTGTCCGTCATCTCTTTGCAGGCAAATATGCACATTATCAAATGTTACAGCACCAGGGAAGTATGCTCAAATGTTTCAGCATACGGCCTATGAGTTTTGAGGAGCGCGGACTGGAAGCAATGCTGGCATTCATCCATGAAGACTACAAGGCACCCAAGGAGAATTTTCGCCTGGGGCTCATGCTGCGTCTTTCCCAGAGTACAGACATCATTGGGATTACTGTCAAGTGTTTGCAGCTGCTCACACCTCACTTCAACTCTATCAGCGAGGTAGTCATCGGAGAGCTCACTCAGCTTCCTACGCAGGACTTTAAGTGGTCGCCTACGTACGATGAACCAGGTGACATGGAACACTGGAACCAAGTTCATGACACTTTGACTCGATGGTTCCGTTCAGATCCATTCTGCTGCAAACAGCATGAGCTCCAAAACATGTCTGCAGCTTGTAGCAGCAGCAGCAGCAGCACAAATGCACCGGGGCTATCAGGCATATTCCCAGAACAAGTCATTGGAGTGTTTTTACAGCATCACATTTTACTGTCTGAGTATCGGGAATTGCAGGGGTCAAAGATGACATGTCACAGTACGTCATCTTTCCAAGAGGATGTCTTGCTTTTGAAGCTGGGAGTTCTCTTCATGCCGCATCACCCTTCGGAAGACATCAAGTTTGCTACTGAAGCTGAGAGCTCTGCAGTAGAGCAGTTATTAGATGCAAATGTTCATCCACACCAACTTGACAGTCTCGTGCTGCCCAAGGCGGTAGAATATCTTCACCATAATGCTGAGGCGATGATGTATCGGATGTCTTGGAAGTCTAAACATGGCAGTGCACACCTTTGTTTGCAGAAAACAAGCAAAGAGATGATGGGAGCACTGGGAGCTACAACACGACAAGGCTGGAGGGACAATAGCAACACCTTTTTGGCGTTCGATGTAGAAAGGGGAACGATGACTGTGATCGATATGGGAATGGCAGCACTCAGTGTGGTGGGCTTCCTCCTCACACTTGCCCTTGTGCGCTCAGCCATGAATGCTCATCAGTGATCTGGATGAATAAAGAATAGTCCATTTGTCGGAGGTCTTGCTCAACAACACTAACACCATATTACCATCTCATCTGTTTCACGGATGACTGGCGAGATACCGGCCATGTCCTGCTTTGCTTCAATAATGGATATTTGGTGCTCCACAAACTACTCCAGGATCCTCAGCAGCTATGGCCAATTTGAATATGTATGTATTACCATCCACTAGGTGTGTAGGTTATGTCCTAACCTTGTCTTGTCATGTGATTTTGTAATGATTCAGGAATAAGGACGCTAGGTGTGTCATCTTGTTGTTCATGAAAAAATATAAAGTGTACCTTGGTTTTGATTACAATGTGAAATCGAAGAATTCCATGATACCAAGTAGAAGAATGTTGGAATGGATAACTTCCTCTTTGTCTGTTCTGCAGACTCTTCACTTAGATTCTATGTTAATTTTGGTCAAATTCTGAAGATGGAGATTCCAACGAATACAGTTGAAAGTTGAAATCACACCTCTGGGGCATGCCACTGGGAAAGAACATGGGCACTGGGGCATGATCGACAGTTACAGTTGAGCTCATTTTTCCCCTTATAATTTGAAATTTGACACAACAGCAGGACTGCTGGGAGTATCTGTTAAAACTTATATAGCCGTATATGCTCTACTTGTTGTATTCTTGTACTAGTACATATGTAATGGGCAGACATGTGCGCCATGTAGCAGGGATGGCTCTGAAGTCTCTAATGGTGCCGGAGGTGTGTGCGATTCATCTGAATTTCAACCTGTGGCGAAGGCATCAAGCTATGCTTTCGGTAATACTAAAGCAGACATCTCTATGCCTAAACCATCCATATGTTTGCTACTGTAGCAACAATCATATCCATGTCTATGTCATGTGGGGCCATGCCTACACAAGGAAACGCCATGCCCGGGACGCGTGCAGGGCCGCAGATGGCGCGACACCAGCACCGTAGGCGCGGTCACCGCGCTCTGCATGGCGAGCGCTGAACAGGCAAGTGCCCAGAAGGAAGGAGAGCCGATTATGGCCTTAGCTTTAGGAGCAATTGGCTCTAGGTTGTTATGGCCGAATGGCCTATAAATCTTGTACATGTGTGCGGTGCTAATCAAGCAGGAACAATTACCCAACTCCCTAATCTCCCTTTGCTGAATCAATCGGGCGCTGAGGGGTAAAACATTGCCCCTGACCACGGATCGCGGCTACGAACTACGTAGCCGGGGTCCTACTACCTTGTCCCTCGACGCCCTTGACAGTCTATATATGCATAAAATAGCTCTATATGACATCTTCCCACGATTTTAAAAGACGCTAGGGGGTACACAGTAGATTTGGCACAAATTAAACACGATTAAGTTTTTTCCCTAGTAGGAGCAAGAGCGGGAGGTACTGGAATGAAGGCCAAAATGATGCGTTCTAAAGGCACAAACAGACTTGCAAAGGCAAACAAAAGAAATTTGTACTTTGTAGAGAAATGAGCAAATGAAAAACATGTTCATATGTGAATGACTGAATATAATAAATTCAGAATATGTTATTCATCCCTGGTCCTGCATAATTGTTCTTGACTTGATGTGAATCGGATGCTTCGGATTTGGCTTCTTGAATAGACAACAGCCACTAAAAAAACAAATAGATAATAAGAGCTAATAAACTCAAAAACAGTATCTAAACAACTAGTAATCAACAACAATAGAAGGGACAGCCCCAGTGTTGCACAGGCACATCTAAGGTTCCCAACAGGTTAACTACTGAGTACTGATGTACATTTGTCAGGTTCAGTCATTCAGAGCATAATACAAGCAATTAGCAACCAGCAGTCAAACATTCAGAAGAAATTGCAAGTTTGCATCAATGTTTCGGTGTCTAGCCTTACAGGTTCTAAGGTTCAGAAACAATTCAGGGCAGTATCAGTCCAGCACACAACCATTAAGTATTACAGGTTCAGACATCAGAACTTCAGGGCACTAGCAGAGTAGCACACAACACATCAAGGCTCAGAATGGTCATATAACAACCTGTCATTTAGACATTAAATGCGTAATCAAATGATGGAAAAATTAAAAATGTGCATAAAAATGGGCTAATTACAAGAGAAAGTCCATGATGCCTTGCTGGATTGCTGCTAGCCAATCTGCCGTGTACACATCCGCCGTCGGCGCGTGAGTGACGGCGTGGTGGCGACGCGGCCACGAGCCGCGGGCCGCAGCGCAGCCAGGCGGCCGGCGCCCAGCTGCTCCACTGCGGCCTGCCGCCCCGCCCCCGCCCCCCGCTGCTGCTCTGCCACTGTGCCTCTGTGGCTGCTGGCCGGCCTGCCACCTGCGCAACCACGCCGCCGCCGCTCCCCCGCTACGCCTTGGGCCGCGCCGTTGCCTCGCTGGGCGCTCCCCAGCTACGCCTCTGCCGCGTTCTTAGCATATTGGGCCAAGTGGGGGAGTGAGGCCGTTCGCAATTGCCATACAGGGCGGAAGGGAGGCCTTTTCCTTCATCACTTCATAAAGCCCAAGCCCTCCAGGCATGCTCAGCCCACTGACTGGTTCGTTGGCCCAAGTCGCTATTTCTCTAGCCCTTGCTGATCCTGAAATTTGTAGGTGTCTGCGATTAACTTGCGTGCAGTAGCTGTTGCACGTACCTTGACATGGAGATGTTTTTTTTTAAGGGAAACCGGAGGGGTTGCCCCCTACTGGATTTTATTAAAATTTAAATGTACAAATTCTCCGGATACAAATAAAGAAACATAAAAGGAGACAAAGAAAATGAATAAGATTACACAAAATTGTCTAGCCATAATTGTAACTGAGTGCCTATATCCCTTTTGAATCTGAGCTTAACCCAAACTAATTCCTGTTTGAAACCCATCTTGCATCTTTGTACAGAATGATGAAGATTTCTGAAGATGACATCATTACGAGTAGACCAGATAGCCCAGAACATTGCAACAATTACTTCCATGAAGAAAGGCCTGTTGATTTAAGCCCTGAAGAGAGGAACCGAGTCAAGCATGCTTCCCTGAATGAGATATGCTAGGCCCAGCAGATTCTAGCAAGTCATAGCAAAAGGACAATCCATGAAAAGATGATGAAGGGACTCCTCAACACCTTGGTGGCAAAGCACACAATTGTAGCTCTGTAGCTTCATTTGTTTTCTTTTTAGAAGTTCTCTGGTACTGAGTCTATCTTTCAAAGCAAGCCAGAAGAAAACTTTCCATTTTGGAAGACAATTCGAATCATATAACCATTTGTATATAGGTGAAACTGGTATAGAACCCAAAAAATGAGTGTAAGCTTTGTTTGATGTAAACAGAGATGATCCCCAAATATAATTCCATACATCTTTGTTGTGACTAGGCTGAATGTTTTGCAATTCAGTAATCATCTGCTGGTATTGATCATGGGCTTCAATGGATAGAGGGACATGAAAAAACTTAGATTTATCATCAGCATCTAGGAAATTTTGTACATAAGTATTAGCATCTTTAGCAAAGAAAAACAAATGAGGCCACTGAACATTGAAAGGAACACCATGCCAAACACCTGACCAAAAAAAGGGAAGTTGAGCCATCACTAATTGTGACAGATGCCATCCCCTTGAAAGAATCAAGTAGTTTAAGGACATCCCTCCACCAGAAAGAACCATTTCTGTTGTTTACTGGAATTGTTTCATTATTGTAATGAGAATTCCAAATCAGCTGAACCCAAGGGATATCACATTTGTTGAAAATTTTGTGCAGATGCTTAAGCAGAAGACTTTCATTCTGAATCTGCAGATCATGAACACCCAAACCACCATTTTCTTTGGAATTGCAGACAAGTTTCCAAGCTGCTTTGGGTGATTTTTTGGAGTTAATATCAGATCCCCTCCATAAATAGTGTTTCATATATTTATCTATTTGCTTAATCACAGTTTTTGGCAAAAGATAGGTGCACATGGTATATGTAGGAAAAGCACTAAGGACTGCATTTGTCATCTGTAATCTACTAGCATGGCTCAAAAAAGATGAAACAGTTACCAACCTTCTTTCACATTTAGATACTAGAGGCCAAAAATCAGCCACTGTTGGCTTTGTGAGACTTAGGGGTAAACCAAGATATGTAAAAGGGAATGAGCCAGTGGAACAACCAAAAGTATTAGCCAAAAGATTAAGCTTGTGCTCACTGATATTAATTGGCACCATCATGGATTTAGCATAGTTAACTTTCAAACCAGTAGACTCAGCAAAAGAGTTAAGGATAGCCTTGAGAAAGAAAAGTTACCTTGTGTCACCTTGCATGAAAATTAAGGTATCATCTGCATACTGCAAAATTGGGAAATCCTGATCAAATGGTAAATCAAATGGTAAAGTAAGTAAACCTTGGTGCTTTGCTGCATTGAGAATACTTTGTAGGAAGTCAACTGCCAAGGCAAAAATGAGAGGGGATAGTGGATCACCTTGTCTAACCCCATGTTTACAATGAAAAACTTTTCCAGGCACCCCATTGAGAAGAACAGCTGAGGTACCAGACCCAAAGATCATCTTCATCCAAGTGATCCATCTGTCAGGAAAGCCTTTACTCTGCATAATCTGAATCATAAGCTCATGTTCCACCTTATCAAAGGCTTTCTCAAAGTCTAATTTCAAAATGATGATCTCATTTCTTGATTGATGACAAAGATGCTGGTACTCCAAAGACCAAGCTAAGCAATCTTGTATAGATCTAGCTTTAATGAAACCATACTGGTTTTTGTGAACAAGTCTTGGCATAGCACATTGGAGTCTATTGGCTAGAATCTTGGTAAGGATCTTAACAGATGTGTTAAGTAAAGAGATGGGTCTAAAATCTGAAACATTTACTGCATTATCATGCTTGGGGATTAGGGTGATGTGAGAACCATTCAAACTCTGAGGCAAATATCCCCATTGAAGAAGGAGGAGCACAAGTTATAAAAATCATTGGAAATAATATGCCAACATCTCTTAAAAAATATATGTTAAAACCATCTAGGCCTGGGGCTTTGTCAG